TCATGTTAGATGTTTAATTAACCTTTTGGTGCAAAAGGTACAGTGCAGTACAGTGGTGGGAGAAACTCGTTACTTATGTAATGGGACGGGTCACAGCTGCAGAGGTAAAGTAGCCCCTGAGTGGAGCAGGCCAGGTCTCAAGGTAGAGTAGCCGCTTGGTTCGGACCATTTTCTCTGGTGGGGTACCCTATACTGTAGCTCCGCAAGTTTGCTGTTGATAATCTGTTATGTGGGCCGTCACCCTCTGCGCCGTTTACGCAGGAGCTGCACCTGAAGCTGATCACATCACGTCTGCAAACTAAGGGTGTCAAACTCATTCCTAAAGGGCCGCTGTGGCTGCAGATTTTCAAATATCAAGCCAATTCTTCGTTTTTTCCTTCTCCTCATCAAAATGAAAATTCAAGCCATTTTTAGATATTTAATTTTCAATTTTAATTTGAAAAAACCATTGAACAAAAAATACACGGACCGCACAGCTGCAGCTGTGGCACGTGCAACAGCTAGCGTTAATCACATTATAAAGAAATGGGCACAATTATTATAGGGTTGTGTTAACGCTGAGACCAATGTGCTAAAATGACTGCAATAGTACTTATTATAAAGTGTAAGCCAATCTTTTTTTTTAAAATGACCGGATTCGTCTGGGTCACATGACACAGTAGCTTGTTCTGGGGAGGCTGCACATAGGCTCCTAATGAAGTTTTACAGACGCAAAGTAAAGAGAGGAATGAGGGGGTGTCTGTGGGAGTGCGGAGACCAGAACAGGAACTGAAGCTAAAACCACAATGACCAGAAGAGCAGTGCCTTCTGACATGGAAATAACAGATTATCCACAGGCAAACCCACGGAGCTAGAGCTTAAACTAGCCTCACCTTGGCGCCGCGTCCTGCGAGTAGTGCGCCCTCATCATCACAAAAGGAAACACACCACTAAAACGCGGGGTGTGGCGGTCTGTGCAATTATCTGACGTTAAACCGGTCTGTGGCACTGAAATGATTGGAGATGGCAGCTGTACAGGATATGCCAAGGGGAAATAACTTCTTACTTCGTATTTGTTGAAAATGAATAGTCTAGAATCAGTTCATTCTCATACTTCCCAAACCTCTCCGACTCCGGTCTGTAAATGTTCCCAATTTTGCATTTTACGTCAATAAACCGACCTCGCACTCCGCTGAGATCCAACGCCACGTTTAACCTTGCGCTCCAGTTATGCAAAAGTTCCAGTGTGAGGGCCCCAGAGACTGCTGCAGCCAAACGCATGACCCTTACACATTTTAACTTGTGTTTGAATGTGAACCAGAGGCTGGGCTTTAAACAGTCTTTTTGTAATAGCTTTTATATTTTTTGACAAAAACAAAAAACACATGGTCATATCATTATGCACAAAGTGAGTTGCATCACACCTTTCTTTGTTATACTTTTTATATTTTTTTCCAAGCTTGTATTAACCACAAATAAAATGAAATGTCTCAAATGTGGGACAAATAAAGGATCTGAAAACATCTTAAACAAAATTGAAAAAGCACTGGGCCAAAATCATGAAGTCTTGGCATACTGTCCTACTTTATATTAGTTTAATTACGGATAGAACTTTTGAACAATATTCATACACAGGGTGACAAGTGCTTCTCAAAAACGACAAAGAAAACAAAAACCAGACTAACAATTAAAGCAAGTCAAACCATACACAAGCACACAACATAGATTTCAATGTATACATTTAAAAGAGATATATAATGAAATATATTTGTATTGCTGGTTTTAGCTGAATGAAACCGTATTTCTCAGATCACACATTTATGCTCTTCATATTTGTCATGAATTGCCTCGTTCACTGTTGTGTGTGGGACCTGCTGAGAGACAACAGCAGGTCCCAACTTTGACAATAGCATCAAGGGTTCATGTCAAATATCATGTTACCATCTAAGTCCTTTAAGGTTCTTCTAAGTTCTCATTCTCTAGCCAGTAACACACCACAACAATAGAATGTTATTGGAACATGATTACTGTCTTAAGCCTGCTTCAAACGAGACGATTTTAAAATTGTCGGCCGATTCTCCTGACCTGAGAGACCTCACACACGGAGATAAAAAATCAAGGGTCTAACCTCTTTGGTCGCAGTGTGTGGTGCAGCCACACGACAAAATCACACACATCACACACGAACCGATTCCCCCCCGAGCATTCCCAGGTCAGACAGAAATCTCACAAAATCTCTCGAGATCAAGCGTGACTTCAGAATAAACAATCATGGCGGATGAAGAGGATGCAGTGGCGATAGTTTGTTTTTAACAGAGAAAAAGGTGTTAGCAAAGGAAAGGTGATGGTTAAAGAAATGGAGACAAGGCGAGCAGACTATACAGTATATATATTTATGCCATTGACTGTTTTACGGTGTTTCCTCGCCGCCTCGTCACCTCGTCTTCTGATTGGCTACAGCCACAGTCCACTGGCAGCATGCTTGTCTGTCCTCGGGGGACACCACACATGAAGAGAAATCGGGCCAAAACAATCCAACATGTTGGATATCTCTGATTTGAGATCGGAGCAGTCCCAAAGTCCGTCTGATCGACGCAGTCTTAACACACCACACACGGCAGGAAAATCCATCAGATTTTTCTTACAAAAATTGGAGCGTTCTTAAGTCGTTAGGGGTAAATCGGGTCTTAAATCAGTCTAATTATCCTGCCGTGTGAACCAGGCTTAAGCAGGATGAAGCATCACGATTAGAAGAGTGATGACATTTCATGGGTGAGACTCATATTTGATAAAGCAAAAGAAATGAATGGGAGTGTGGAATTTACAGATGTAAACGAGCAGTTTTGTTACAACCTAGGATATTTACAATTTGTGTACAACTGTACATGATTGAACATAAATGTGTAGTACCCATATCAACCTAACTGTCAAATAATGGAAATAATTTGACAATTTGACTCTTGTATTGGCACCTGTCCCCCAACTGAAGAAGAATTCTACAACATGAAACAACGTTGCATTGTTTTCTGACGGCCATAACTGAGCAGCAGGCCTGTCAACAATATCTTTAGCCTCACTCTTGTGTGCCCCACATGGGTCGGAAAAGTCATTAGATGTGTGCGAGATCTGTTTGCAGATGTTAACTTACCACAATTGAACAATAAATGCACAATATTGACTCCCACTGATAACTGCTGTCATTGTGTCCTTAGGCAAGACACTTAACCCCACGTTACCTGAAGCCCTCACTGAAAGATCTCAGCTCCTGCAGGAGGATCAGTGAGGGGCTGGTGCTCTGTGGACTGGGTACAGCTCTGACTGCCACCCCCGACCCAGAAATGGATTAAGGGGAAGAAATTGGATGTATGGATGGACAATGGATGCACAATATAGCCGATCACATTTTTTCAGAAATCTCCAGGTCCAATTTCCAGGATTTCCTCTCAAACCAGATGCTTGTCTTTTGGATGAACGCCTGACGATCGGGCTCCGGGGGTCAGGTGGTGTGTCTCAGCTTTATATATTTATTCAAACAATTAACAGTCCGTCACTTCTTCCTCTTAAATGAAACCGGGAGGAGGATTTAGATTTGATTATTTCAGCTGAAACATACATACATCATCCATTTGTGTTCGGCACAGAATTAAGTCCTTTTATTCGTCTCGTAATGGGGAACTTTCAGTTTGATGCATACACATGCAACAGACACAGCAACAGCAGACATCAGTCTATCTATCTATCTATTTATCTATCTATCTATCTATCTATCTCATCAGACTAGGGGGATGGAGACTTCTGATCACGGTCAGAAGAGGAGTTTTTCATTGTTATCCTTTTAAAAACCTGACTGAAAATGGGTTCACACACCCAATAACAATCAGGGAAAAAACTATCATTCATAATTTCAGAAATATGGCTCTGAAAAATCATATTTTAGGCCTACGTGTGCAAACTTTCAATCACAACTGTAAATGAATGGTGATTTACATTGAGAAAAACTGGCATAAACTCAAACTCATGGAAAAAAAAGACCTACTGGACATTGTCTCACATACATGTTGAACCCACCGCAGCTTTAGATTGTTAAAGGCCAAACACCATTTAAAAACAACATGACAGTAGCATGCTGGAAGCCCCTCAGCAAACTCTGAATGCATTTTAAAAGCTCAACTCTCCTGGGGGCAACTATTCAGATGACTCTAAGTGAAAGTTGTATATGTTTGTATCATAATAAGACAACAAAAACAAGATCTACTCCATTTTAGTGTCTAACTGTTTAAAAAAGTACTGTAACCCGATAGAACGGTGTGAGGAAAAACTCAACCTCGTGTCTCTTAATGTACTGTAAGCCCCAATTCAGAAAATAAAGGTCAGTCACTGCAGCTTGTTCTTGTTTCAACAAGTCGTATGGATTAGTTTAGTCCGTACACAACTCCAGGTCTGTTTGTGATTTCATCTGTTATGACATTGTTCTGAAATTCTTCATTTTAATGAAAGACTAGAGGTAACAATTTTGTGCAAAATTATCTTTGTTTGGTGCAATGTTTGGGCACCATCAGTTTTCACAAAGGTCAGGATTTTTGTCATCATAAAGCTTGATTTCCATGAGTTGTAAGCTATTAGTTGTTATGTTAGCCACAGGACGCGTCATCGGCCTACCTCAGTAAAATCACACATGAACATCATCATGAACATCATGAACATCATCATGAACATCATGAACATGATCATGAACTTCATCATGAACATCATCGTGAACATCATCATGAACATCATCGTGAACATCATCATGAACATCATCATGAACATCATCATGAACATCATCATGAACATTATGAACATCATCATGAACATCATCATGAACATCATCGTGAACATCATATCATCGTGAACTTCATCATGAACATCATCGTGAACATCATCATGAACATCATCGTGAACATCATCATGAACATCATCATGAACATCATGAACATCATCATGAACATCATCGTGAACATCATATCATCGTGAACTTCATCATGAACATCATCATGAACATCATCATGAACATCATCATGAACATCATCATGAACATCATGAACATCATCATGAACATCATCGTGAACATCATTGTGAACTTCATCGTGAACATCATCATGAACATCATCATGAACATCATCATGACCATCATCGTGAACATCATCATGAACATCATCATGAACATCATTGTGAACATCATCGTGAACATCATCGTGAACATCATTGTGAACATCATCGTGAACATCATCATGAACATCATCATGAACTTCATCATGAACATCATCATGAACATCATCATGAACATCATCGTGAACATCATCGTGAACATCATTGTGAACATCATTGTGAACATCATCGTGAACATCATCATGAACATCATCGTGAACATCATCATGGACATCATCGTGAACATCATCATGAACATCATCGTGAACATCATTGTGAACATCATCGTGAACATCATCATGAACATCATCATGAACATCATCATGAACTTCATCATGAACATCATCATGAACATCATCGTGAACATCATCGTGAACATCATTGTGAACATCATCGTGAACATCATCGTGAACATCATCATGAACATCATCGTGAACATCATCATGAACATCATCGTGAACTTCATCGTGAACATCATCATGAACATCATCATGAACATCATCATGAACATCATGGCAAGGCAAGTTTATTTGTATAGCACAATTCATACACAAGGCAACTCAAAGTGCTGAACAAAACAAGAAAGCATTAAAATCATAAATAATCACAGAACATTAAAAAGAAAGATAAAAATATAAAATCCCTCAGTTGTAGCACAGCTAAACAGAACTGTCTTTAACCTGGTTTTAAACATTGTCAGAGAGGAGGCCTGTCTCACATCTTCAGGAAGACTGTTCCAGATTTTAGCAGCATGAATCTGAAAAGCAGCCTCCCCATGTTTAGTTCTGACTCTGGGCACTAACAGGAGTCCAGTCCCTGTGCTCCTCAGAGTCCCAGCAGGAGTCCAGTCCCTGTGCTCCTCAGAGTCCACAGCAGAAGTCCAGTCCCTGTGCTCCTCAGAGTCCCAGGAGGAGTCCAGTCCCTGTGCTCCTCAGAGTCCCAGGAGGAGGCCAGTCCCTGTGCTCCTCAGAGTCCCAGCAGGAGTCCAGTCCCTGTGCTCCTCAGAGTCCCAGCAGGAGTCCAGTCCCTGTGCTCCTCAGAGTCCGGGCTGGTTCATATGGGACTAACATGTCACTAATATATTTTGGTGCGAGGCCATGGAGAGACTTGTAACAAGCAGAGCTGTTTTAAAGTCTATTCTCTGAGCCACAGGAAGCCAGTGCAGAGACCTGAGGACCGGACTAATGTGGTCGTACTTCCTGGTACTAGTCAGGACTAATGTGGTCGTACTTCCTGGTTCTAGTCAGGACTAATACGGTCGTACTTCCTGGTTCTAGTCAGGACTCGAGCTGCTGCATTTTGAATGTACTGCAGCTGTTTTACAGCCTGTTTGGACAGACCTGTGAGCAGGCCATTGCAGTAGTCTAACCTACTCGAGACAAATGCATGGATAAGAATCTCCAGGTCTGCTTTAGACACTATGTTTTTGATCCTGGCAATGTTCTTTAGATGGTAAAAAGCTGCTGATGTTACTGATTTGATGTGGCTATTAAAATTTAAGTCTGAGTCCAGTATTACCCCTAGATTTCTGACCTTGTTTGAAGGTTTTAGGGAGAGAGACTGTAGATGGCAGATGACGCTCTCTCTTTGTTTCTGGGGACCAAAGACAATCATTTCAGTTTTGTCTGCGTTTAGCTGAAGGAAGTTGTTTTGCATCCACTCACTGATCTGTTGGATACAGTGAAGGAGTGAGTCCACTGGTCCATGTTCTCCTGCAGTCAGTGAGACATAGATCTGAGTGTCGTCTGCATAGTTATGATAGGACACTTTGTTTTCTGCGTATTAACTGACCTAACGGCAGCATGTAGAGATTGAACAGAAGAGGTCCCAGGATCGACCCCTGTGGTACTCCACAGGTCAGGGCCATATGATCTGAGACACAGTTTCCAATCTCCACAAAGTACTTCCTGTCTTCAAGGTAAGACCTAAACCAACTTAGGGCGGTGCCAGCGACTCCAACCCAGTCCTCTAGTCTCTGTAAGAGGATCTCATGGTCGACGGTGTCAAAGGCAGCACTCAGATCTAACAAGATTAAGATTGAGACTTTGCCTGCGTCAGTGTTCAGCCGGATATCGTTTGTAACCTTAACGAGAGCAGTCTCAGTGCTGTGGTGGGGTCTAAAGCCGGACTGAAACATATCAAATGAGTTGTTGATTATAAGAAATCTAGTAAGCTGTAGGCAGACAACTTTTTCAAGGACTTTCCCCATAAATGGCAGATTTGAGATGGGACGATAGTTGTTAAGTACAGTGGCGTCCAGACTGCTCTTTTTTAGCAGGGGCCTGATGACTGCAGTTTTCAGGGCCTTTGGGAATATTCCAGAATGAAGGGACATGTTTACTATCTGTGTGAGTGAAGGTAACAGACTGCTCAGAACAGACTTCAGAAATCTAGTGGGTAGTACATCCAGGCTGCATGTGGAGGAGCTCAAACTGGAGATTATCTCTTGGACAGTTTTATCATTTACAGATGCAAAGTGTGTTAGCTCAGAGAGCCTTTCTGGCTGTTGGATTGCTATCAATGGATGGATTGGAGACAATGGCGTTTTTGATGCCTTGAACCTTGTCATTGAAAAAATTTGCAAACTCATTGCATTTACGTTTGGAAGTTAGCTCTAATGGCATTTGAACAGGGGGGTTTGTTAATCTATTAACTGTTGAGAACAGAACACGCAGATTTTTGCTGCAGTCTTCAATCATTTCAGAAAAATACCTTTCTCTCGTACTACGTAGCACCTGGTTAAACTCGCACAACTTATCTTTGAAGATCTCGTAATCAACCTGGAGGTTGGACTTGCGCCACTTCCGCTCGGCCCTCCGGCACTTTCTCTTTTGTGCCCTGACCGAGTCTGCTTTAGCCCACGGCGCCTTCTGCTTATTTTTCACTATTTTAACCTTCACAGGGGCAACGGTATCCAGAACATTCAAAACACTAGAGGTGACAGAGTTAAACAGTTCATCTACAGTAGAACACGATGCATTCTCAAAGTTTATCATTTCCATAAATAGTTCACTCGTATTTTCATTTATGCGCCTTCTTCGAACAGTTGCAGAGTCCACTGGTGGTTTGTTAGTGAAACACATGTCAAAAAAAACACAGAACATCATCATGAACATCATGAACATCATCATGAACATCATCATGAACTTCATCATGAACATCATCATGAACATCATCATGAACTTCATCATGAACATCATCATGAACATCATCATGAACATCATCATGAACATCATGAACATCATCATGAACATCATGAACTTCATCATGAACTTCATCATGAACATCATCATGAACATCATGAACTTCATCATGAACCTCATCATGAACTTTATCATGAACATCATGAACTTCATCATGGACATCATCATGAACATCATCATGAACATCATCATGAAATTCATCATGAACATCATCATGGACATCATCATGAACATCATCATGAACTTCATCATGAGCATCATCATGAACATCATGAACTTAATCCTGAACATCATCATGAACTTCATCATGAACTTCATCATGAACATCATCATGAACTTCATCATGAACTTCATCATGAACATCATCATGAACATCATCATGAACTTCATCATGAACATCATCATGAACATCATGAACATCATCATGAACATCATGAACTTCATCATGAACATCATCATCAACTTCATCATGAACTTTATCATGAACATCATCATGGACATCATGAACTTCACCATGAACATCATCATGAACATCATGAACATCATCATGAACATCATCATGAACATCATCATGAACTTCATCATGAACATCATCATGAACATCACCATGAACATCATCATGAACATCATCATGAACATCACCATGAACATCATCATGAACATCATCATGAACAGCTGAGGCAGCACAACTCGACAGAACACTCGTCACTAACTACTGCAGACTAAATTCAGCATGTTCTAAGGCACTGTCAACAAAAGCAGCCTTTTCTCATTTGTAATAGAACTTTATCAAAGGGGTTTAGTGGTGATTGTGGTGTTCCTTGTTTTCCTAACTTTTTCTTCTTTTGAAATCCACCAGTTTTATTATTATTTACGTAATTATGTAAACTTCAGGTTCAGTTCTTTACAAATGCTTCTTTGAATCCATTGTCACTTTTAATATCACAGCCTGGTTTGTTTCACTGAGTCTCACACATCGGAACTCTCTCAATAAGATCATTATGAAAATCAGCAGCAATATCATCCCAGCCCAATCTGCCTTTTACACAGCTGATCGGAGCATACTCTGTTTCGGCTGACGCAGATTATAAGAATATATTCATATATTTCAAAATAATTTGTATTCTATTCTCTTTTGAATGTGCTGGAAAACGGCTGCAAGTCCTAAGTAGCTGTGAAAAAACAGTTGTTGTTTTGTGCTTTTGAATTATTATTTTTTTCTTTGCTTTTTTCTAGATGTTGGTGCAGTACAGTGTTCGTGGTTTTGCACTGGTCCAGACCCGTCCTGCTGCTGTAACCCGTCCTGCTCCACCCAGAGGCTACTCCACCTCTGCTGCTGTGACCCGTCCTGCTCCACCCAGAGGCTACTCCACCTCTGCTGCTGTGACCTGTCCTACTGTTGCTGATTATTACTATTTTTAACTTTTTAGAATGATCAATTTTATTTTTTTTATTTTTGCTGCTACTGGACACTTGAATTTCTCCAACAGGATCAATAAAGTATCTATCTATCTAGTGTTTCTGTGTTTGTATGAGTCCCTACATGTGCAACAAACTCTTCTGCTCTGATATGCCTGTGCAGGTTGGTCATTGTCTTTTTCTAAACCAATGTTCTTCAACCTTTTTTGAGCCAAGGCACACATTTTTTCATTAAAAAAAATCTTGCGGCACACCACCAGGAGAAAATGTAAATATATAAACTCTGTAGCCTATATTCACAACACAGTCATTATCAAAGTGCTTATGTAGACATCCAGGCCTTGACATTAAGCTTTGTTAGATATTTCTCAATACAATAAGTTTGAGAATTAAAGCTGCACTAACTATGTGGAAAAAAAATATTTTTAAAACCTACTCTCTGCCTATAAAGTCAAATAATGACTCTTAAGTATGCAAAAAAAAAAAAAAAAAAATGGCCTGTTGTGTTTTTTTTTATTCATTCACAACATTTTACTTTTGAGCACAAATAACATGCATTGTTGATGCATGGGGAAAATGTTGGTACCCAAGCTTAAATTTCTGGAGTTTTGGTTGCGCTTTGGGAGGAGACATGGGAGAGACACAGGACTTCTGCCATCTACTGATATGAAAGAGTATTACGTGGTTACTTCACAGGTCAACAAGTCACAAGTCAACACTTGCCATCGTTGGATACATTTATTTTTAGACGAAGAAGGCAAATTTCCCCTGGCACACCAGACAATATCATACGGCTCACTAGTGTGTCGCAATGGTTGAAAAACAATGTTCTGAACTCTTGCTGTCTTCTACAGCGTTCATTGGTCAGAACGCTCACGGGTTCCTCCAGATTTAAATTCCAGAATGTGAAATCACGTCATAAGTCTAAAGACAAGTACAGTGTGTTTGGGTTTTTGATTTGCTGTCAGCCTTCTCCAGTGAAACAGAAAAGCGCTGGAAGTCATTTGGCAAAAACAATAAGTGGCGATAAAATCCTCTGGAGCTGGTGGTGTGTGAGACCAGGGCGAGTGTGTCTCTTCTCATATATGTTTGAACAAAGCAATAGCTCTGAAATAAACTTCTGCTACTAAATGGGATTAAGAAAAGATCAAGACAAGGATATTCTGCTTACATAATAAAATACTAGTGCAATAATTAAAAGCATGCTTTTGACTGAAGAATAGAACATATAATCATGGACTGAGAATCTGAGAATTCTTCCTCTCTTGCTAAAAGAGCACTTGAACAGAAGTGAAAATGATCTCCACATTAATGGTCAAAGATCAACATGTCTGTGGGGTGTGTAAACTTCAAGTTGTGTGTGTCCTTCATGTGTGAGATAGTGTGTGTATTGTCCCCAGGTCTCTACCCATAGTCATGTGTGTTTATTTGTGTGTGCTTACGTGTGTGCGCATATGTATGCTCATTTGTGTATACTAGGTGTGTGCACGTTTTTGTGTGAATGTATGAGAGCATGTGCTTGCAGGAGCATGTGTACATGCTCGTGTGTGCGTGTGTGTGTATGTGCAAGGCCATGTGTGTATACATTTGTGTGTGTTTTGAGTGTATGTGTGCATGCTCATGTGTGCATACATATGTGTACAAACTCGTGTGTATACTCATGTGTGTGCTTGTGTGTTTTGAGTGTATGTGTGCATGCTTGGGGTGACAGTGGCTCAGTTGGTAGAGCATTGGTGTCTGGACCTACTGGTCGTGGGTTTGATCCCACCACTACCCATGTCATCTGCTCCCACTGATAGTTGCTGTCGCTGTGTCCTTGGGCAAGACATTTAACCCTACTTTGCCTGAAGTCCCTGCTGAAAGATCAAGGCTGTATCTGCGTTGAAGGAGCAGCCATCTTCCAGTGGACTCACCATCTGTAAGCGGATCAGCGAGGGACTGGTGCTTTGTGAATTGGGATTGCCACCCTCTGACCCAGAAATAAGTTGTAAAGGGATGAAAATGAATGAGTGCATGCTCATGTGTGTATACATATGTGTGTGTGTGTGAGTGTGCGTGCGCATGCTCATGTGTATTTACGTGTGTGTATGTTCATATGTGTGCACATGTGAGAGTCAGTGTGTGCCTGCTTCTGTGTGTATTTGTAGACATTTGTATTTGTGAGGGTGTACTTGTGTGTTTACAGTTTATACGTGTGTGTTTACATGTGTGTATAAGAGCATGTGTACATGTGTGCTGTTCTATCATCAAATGGATGATCAATAGGACAGCTGTGCGTCCATAGGAAGGAGCTGTGATTGATTTACCTTGAAAGGACAGTTCTGGTTCTGCGTCGAGCTCGATCTTGCGTCACAGTCGTACATAAGAGAGAATGTGAACATGTGGCCACAACTGCTTTATAATTGCTTTAAAAGGACACATTGTATAAAAATGTTTCCTACTTTTTTGGAAGCTTTTAACCATTTTACACAGTGTGCAGCGTAACATGTACTTCTCATTGTCCCTTTAATATTGTGACTGGTCTAAGTACAAGTATTGATTCACTATATACAAATAGGGAAACAATATAAAATGTAAATATATAAAAAGCTCAAAAAGGTGATTCTACATGTGTGTGTCTTTTAAATGCTAATGTTGTGGACGCACACCTCTCCCCTTTCTCTACTCCAGACCGACTCGTGGAAATCAGCCTCTGAAATGATGTGGAAAACGCCAAAGAGGCCGGGCGTACCTTCAGATTAACCCTGTCAAATTTGTCACACAAAGATGCAGGAAAATCCACTTCAAACCTCATTTACAAGATTTATTCAGCTCCGATCTTGGCGGCGGCTGATAATGGAGGCAATATTCGGCATGAAAAGAGGACGCAGTCAGTACAATGTTGGAAAATACCAGCTCAATTTTTGGAAGAATGGTGGTTTTTTGGCAAAGAGCTCTCTGTAGAATGAGGTTTGTCTGTTTTAAAGTCACGTGGGGAAATGTCACCACTTTGTTATAACTTATCTCCTCATGCTTCAATCACAGCATCCACGGCTCCATATTTGTCACTACTGCCACAATGGCTGTGCATAAACTCGAAAAGTAACATGCTCAAGGTTCCATTATCCCATTTGTAAATCAAAGCAACTTCAAAAATGGACATTATTGAGGATTTAACCTACCCTGGTCTTATCCATCCGTACACTCCGCTCAATCATCATTTCACTGCATGTAACGTCTGGGTCTGGTCCCTGTGTTAGCGAATACAATCGGTTGTATTTCGACCGGCTACTCAGAGAGCGCGGAAGGCGGGTGTTGTAGGTCGGTGCCGGTGACGTCAAGAGTTTGCGCCGAACTGGCAGGTCGTAGTTTGGCAATGGCGAAGAATGCGATAGTAAAGTAATCCGGTCTGGTTCTATTAAGAAATTGAAGCAGGAGCAAGAGGAATGTTTACATGCAAATGTAATCGCTGGTCAAGATTGTGGTACTACTCCCCACGGGCTCCGTTAGCAGCAAAGGAGATGGCTAAAGCTAGGCTAAATGCTAACAACAGACTCGGGCGCACTACATACGTCACGGTAAACTCAGATCCAATCGTTTCAATCTGCAAAAGGAGTTAACCCCTCCCACCTGTTCACGGAGTCAATGGAGCACCTCCAGACCTTAGTATGAAATGTCATTTGTACTATGGTGTGGTACGACCAGGCTAGATTTAACCATGTTCCAACCTTGTTCCTCATCAGTCACAGAGCTTGAGTTGATTTTAGATCCATCCACTACTTATGAAACTTGCGTACGGCTAAATCAGGGTGTAAATGAGGCATACGCAAAAAAAGTACACATTTTGGCATTTATCAATCTGGAAGTGAGCGTATGATTTGCACAGAACATACGCCTAGTGTGGAGGTGGTGTATACGCTCATATCAGCCCCCATCACAACACTCCAAAACACGCACAAAATTCAAGATTTGGCCAACAATAAACATATTCCCACTCTGGCAAAATTATAAGCTGCGTTTCCATTGAAGATGAAATTTCAAAATTTGAATTTCAGAAAATGTCTAATGAACCGATGCATACTTTGAAAAAATCACAGTCAGTTCATGATGAAGACCCTTTTCTGCTTCTTTGTTTTTAATCTGACTTGTGTATTATTTTCATCTCTATGTTTTCTTAAATGTGAAATTGCATTCATAAGAAGATGCTGCAGACGCTTCATCTTCATTCAATATTTATTTATTTACTTCCAAAGTTCAAGAGCGTTTTTTGCAATGTATCAA